CCCCAAAACCCCAAAACCCCAAAACCCCAAAACCCCAAAACCCCTGATAAACTATAAAAATTGAAGTGAATATAATAACAATGGAGGGTGTTAAAGCTTTGGCTAAGAAAAATAAAGAGACTCGTAAAATAAGGTCTATTCCTGAATACAATTTCCATAGGATCTTCAATAATGTTGAGGTAGGTAGTGCATTATTATTCAGAACCAAATTTTGGAACAGTTCACTTTGATTGTTCATCAAAAGTTCTTTGTCTTTGCTGTTTTTAAAATGTTACCTATGTCTCATTTTAGCAAGAAGAGACCAAATAAAAGGGTTATATATCAAGATAATGAAGTAATGAAAGAGTATTGAACAAGTTCGGCCAAGGATATGGAAGAATATAATCAGGTGGTTAACGGAATAAGAGCAAGAATTTTTAATTACCAAGCTCCAAAAGATATTGATGAACCTACATTGCCTTTCTTCCAAGATTATGATAAAAAGTTTCAGAGTAAGAATTTTTGGTGGTAGCTAATTTCTTATTCTATACGAGATTTATAAGTTATTTATATTAATGGCTGCATAACTCCTTTTTATTACTTTTATCTTATAATATTTAGTAATATAAAATTCCAGGTTACGAATATCTAAACGAATTCGAAAGTTTTCTTTTTACCTAAATGCTGAATTTTTGAGTTTGTGACATAGTTGCCGAAAGTTTTCAAAATGTTATTTATTTCACTTTATATTTATATTTAAAAGTCGCTCATATACGTTCCTAATTCATTAATGAATAACCTCTTACAAGAAATTATAATATTTTCAGTCCATAATCCGTGGTTTAGGAAAATTATGTCTTCCGAAGGATATTAGCCATAAAAAGAGGAAACTCAAAAGAACAATAGGATCAATCGCCAGTTTTGACGTTATATCTGATATTGTGTCGGAATTTTATCAAGAATGTAAGCACAAAAAGGCTGTAGATTCTTTTCTCTTGAAGTCATTGGTAAATAAATTGAAGAATTATGATGAGGAGCAAAAATTTGACCCTGACTTATCCTATCAGCAGCCTCTGAATAAGAATAACATTGAGTTACTTGTAGAAGAGAAATCCAGCTTAATTACTACATCTGATACACTTGACCCTGGTGAAATTGAGCAAAAATGAAAAACAATGAAGAAGAGACCAAAGAGGAAGGGAGGAAAAAGTAACATTATTTCAGGCATCCTTTAACCTCATCAGATGGTAGAAAAATTCTGCAAGTAAATTTATGAAGTCAATTAAATTTATTCAAAGCTTTATTGTAGTGGTTTGGCTTTGTTGATATTCCCTCGGGTAAAATTATTCGAGAGGAGGAAGTTTCAACTTAGTTATTTTGCAAATTTGTGAAGAACATACATTTTGGGCTTCTTTGATTAGATAGAATATAGACTAATGCTTCCTTTAACCTAAAGACTTCAAAAATTCAAATTGAACTCTCACTACAAAATTTACGAAGGAGAATTCTGGTTTTTGATTTTTGGTTTGGTTATTTATTTTCGAACATTAAAAGAATCCTTCCCTTTTGATTGGTCTTCTCCACTGAAGGAATGATCTATTAGCACATTTAGCTATATTTTAGAAATTATACTATAACTAAGTTCAATCAGATGAACTAAGTCCGGGGTTTTGGGGTTTTGGGGTTTTGGGGTTTTGGGGTTTTGGGG